ATGTAGATAAAAATGTTGAAAATTGGTACGTATGCAGGCTTAGCCGTGGCAGGCACTGCAGCTGTAAGTGGAATACAGTTGAAAAGACCTGTCAAAGTAAGACATGCCTCCTTAGTAATCTGTAATAACGATACTAACTAATGTCAAGTCAGGGACAAGTAGAAAAGCTTAGAAACACACCACATTTAAAGTCCCGTCAGTCTTAAAGAGCCTTTTGTTCTGAGGAATGAGAACAGATAAAGTGAAAGAAAATAAAACCAATCCAACTTACCCTGGGTTCTGTCATTTCAATACCAATGAGGAATATTAATTCAGCAATGAAGAGATTGATGCACAAGTTCTTGTGGATGGTGTTGCGATCACTCTGTAGGCCTCGAAAAAAGCAGAACGTGAAGATGCAAATTGCGAGGCAGACGAGGGAGACCACGATGCCGACCCGAGTGATGACAGTGAGAAGCAGCTCGTGGGAATCTCTAATGTTGCCCTAAAATACAAAACAAACAGAAATAATTAGCCTGGGTCAGAGAATGTTGGTTAAAAGACAGAATGTTAGAGCATTTGTTTTCTTCCATTGCTGAGAATAAAAAAATAGATTTAAATCGGCACTTAAAACAAAATATAACCAAATAAATATCCATCCATTCATTATCTTTACCAACTTGTTCCTTTAGAAAAAAGAAGAATAAAAACAGGTTTAAATGTCTCTAACTGGACCCTTACAACAAAAGATGTAGAACACCAAAAAATTATTTAAAAACAAACTTCAAATAGTTAACAAAAATATGACTGGGCGAGCAATATTTTACAATTTTTGTTTTATTTTCTTCCTATCTTTGGACCTTTTTAGGTCAATATTACAAAAGAAAATGTAGAAAGATAAATGTAATTCCTGCTACCATTTTATGTATTTTAAATTTAAACGTTAGCAGTAAAAGTGGATCGATTTGTGTTTCATTATCAATGGCCAATTTGGATTGGCATTTTTAGAAATCAGGGCAGCTGATTGTGAATACATAAAACCAAATATTATCTGTACGTTGGCTTTTGGCCTATAACTGTAACAGTTGAATACTCAGACACAGGGCATAATTTGAGCTGGATCCTGCTGGAACAGGATACGGAGACTCTCTTATTTTGGCAGGGTGCGTTCCGGTTACTGTTTGCTTAGATTCGGTAACTCTCAGGCTTACTAATAATAAAGTTATGAACAAATATGACTGCCTTGAACGAATAAAACTTATATTGGATATGTAAACTGAAAATAATTACATAAACACTAGTTTTAAACACAACGGTTTCTTAATATATCACATACCAGCTGCATCTTCAATTAGCATAATGCACTTCTGCCCTTAAAAAAAACTCCGACCCTAAAAGAGTGGTGGGAGTGAGTGCCGAGCTAACCAGGCAGTCGTACGTGGGCAGGAGCCCACAGGCAGCCGCCATGAACAGAAGGAGGAGGCGCCTGGAGGTTTCACATGTGGAGCCAGACAACGAGTAGGACAGTGAATTCAGCCGAGGAGAGTCGGGCTCGGAACCGCTGAGTAAGGGGGAGGGGGGTAGGATGCTTGACAGAAGTGGAGTGTTTATAAATGTAGGTGTTTAACAACACATTAAAATACAGCAAAATGCAAGAAATCGCATCTACTTCATTCAAAATTTTCTGGGGGAGGACCCCCAGACTCTCTGCACCCCGCCCCACTCCTTGCCAGCCTGCTTTTTATTTGCGTTCCAGCATTGATCAGTTTACAAATTAAGCCCTGCTCAGATGTGACTTTCTACTATTTAAAAAAAGAGTGATAATTGATTGCGGGGTAAATATTCACAGTAGGGTGTGTGGCATTTAATAGTGGGAATACGGCAGAGCTTAGAACATTATAAGAACTCTCAAATTGTTCTGAAGAGTGATCTTTTTCCTCGTTTGTTAATAGCAACTATCACAAACCACACAAAAGCAACAGAGCTATGAAAGACACTCTAGTCATGGAAAGTCCATCAGCTAAGAGTGTAATTTCAAGTATAAAAATGCTGTTCTAACAATGCTGAGTATTTAAAACCTTGCCAAAATTGGTCTAAATAGTTAGCCAACCATTCAAGTTCTTCACTTGTGTCTATATCGAAACACATGTCAAGTAAGTTGAACAAGTGTAAAAAAAAGAAGTGACATACTGAGATTTCACGATGTGCCATGAGGATGGCGAAATTTGTCAGATGACTGCACGAACAGGTGGTGTGGGTTTTATTGGAGTCCAGGAGTTTGCAGCCCTGGGTGGACCAGTAGCCCATCATACTCCTCTCAGAGTAATTCCAGAAGGAGCAATTGGAGTTGAAGTAGTGCTCCATCTGCAGATAACAAGAGATATGGTTAAGTGTCCAAATAATTGACTTCCCAAAATTGAAGCACATGTAGAACACAGAGGCCATTTACCCCCTACTCATACAAAGTATTTTTCAGCACTGATATGGATGAGAATTTTTCTCCCTTCACAGCTCTTATGAAGCTATTCATATGTTGTATCTCATTTGGCATGTGCCTGCTCTACCGAAGCATAGCTGAGTATATGAGGCCTTAATAACAGAGAAGCATAATTGTTTGACGGCGTGTCTTTAGAATTGCACAGTTTCTCTGATAAAGAATGGAGTCATGCATGGCCCTCTGGGAACTCTAGTGACAACTTTAAAAGACAAAAGATAATTGGTGCTCCAGTAATTTCATCCTAGATTGTAGGGCTAATCTAGGAGTTAATTTCCCCCTCTATAAAAGAAAATGGGTATCATTTATATCCCAATGTTGATTAAAGAATTAGTTTTCATTAAGAATTCACTTAGGTTCTAAAGGCTCCTTTAATTTGATGTTCAATGACTTAAATAAACTGCCGACTGACCTAGTGAGACATTTACAATTCAAATAGCAGATCTCGATCTGCTCTGGCTGTTCTCTCCTGGTCCTATTTTTGTAAATGACCTCTTCATTCACTTCTGCGGGGAGACTTACGTCAATGTGCTGCAGGGTGAAAATCACTGGGTCATTAATGAATACACGGCTGGACTCCTTGTTAAGCGAGGCAGCGATGATGTCAGAATTGACGGCCACTGACACGTTGCGACCGTAAGCCTCGTTGGCCATCTTGATGGTGGCGTTGTCCGTGCTGAGGAACTGGCTCAGGTTTTTGTACAGCACAAAGACGAGCTTGGCAATTCCTGATGAGGAAAATATGTCATAAAAAAAAGATTTTACAATTAAGAATGAAAAATAATGGGATGGCAAAACGCAAATTAAACACAACCATAAAAAAATAGGTAAACACTACAATTTTTTTTTGAGTAACTCAGTCTAAAATATGAAGCAAGTGACATGTATAATAAAGGTAAGTGACAAAAAAAAAATACTTTTCTTTAATAAAATCAGATGACTTTCAGTTACACCCACATAGTTTCCTCACCTTCTTAGAGAAAACATGATTTTCAACACATTGTGGCAAAAGCCAATCTAATCCATTTCTCTTACTATTCAGCCCTTTCTCAACACTGTGCACATTAATGAGTTCACGTCCCAATCCATGTTTAGGCTTTCTGTAAGTATGTTCTATTCTACATATTTTTAACTGTAACAAAAACCCTTGCAATGTTTATTTGGTGACTTCTGAAATATCATGGCAAATTGTCATTAACAAGCATACAGTTAATGAAAAGACAATGGTATTTATTTGTAACAACATTATATTTTCACACAAAGCATTGTACTGTCTAGTTATATATGCACTGAGGTGACAAATACCAAATTATTATCAAATGTCCTTAACATACATAGAAAATGAATAATGTAATGTCATATTTTAAAACTGAGATTCTCTACAAATATTACAATGTATAATTTAGGGTATGTCAGTGTTTTACAGTACATTTGGAATTATTGCCAATTTGTTGCCATTATTCTCTAAAAAGCAACATTTTTTTAATAGCATACAACGTCTGTTGTAAGCTCAATAACTAGTTTATAGTAATAACTTGTTATGCAATTTTGAACATAGGAGTATGTGCATGGACAGAAGCAGCTGTAGGAAATCAAATTTGGCCCAAGTGAATACATTTAAATGTTTCAATTAATAATCACTCTTGTTTTTCTCAGGAGTTAATGAGGTTAGCGTTTCTTTTGTTTGTTTTTTGGGGAGGGTGGGGTTGTTTGTTTGTTTTTCCGACATACCGTTTCGGCTGTTTAGTTTAACTGTGTTGGCCGACAGCTGAATTGAGAGTCCGCTCTTGCTGTACTGTGGAAACTTGAAGTCCTGGACTTGGCCATCGGTGCCGAGCACATACACATCTAGGACTGCGGAACAAAGAGAGGCAAAAATATACACCGTAATAAAAAAGTCATCAGTGACTTTTTGACACAGAACCAAAAAATACAAAAATAAATAACAAAAAAAAAAAAAAACAGCAGAGCTACTGATACCAGAGCTTAGTTCCTGACATTTCTTCACAAATCATTACAGTATGCAAACCAAAGGACACATGAACATGTCATGTGAACACTAAATCTCGGCAAGAGTGAGCTAAGCAATAAAAATGTCAATCAAAAACTGAGTTTTTTTTTTCCTTCTAGCTCTAGGTAATTTGAATAAAACAGCTGCAAGGAAAGGAAACCTTCCTCTATGGTTTACCAGATGAAGAAAATGAGAAAAGGAAGAAGAGGCTGTGGATAAACAATGTAATTTTTCTGACTCCACAGCAGGCTAATGTTCACATTAATGTATAGAGTTACAAGGTCTAGACGCATACATTCATAAAGTAAGTGTGCGCAATCAGAGAATCCCGTCTATTTAATTGTCTGATATTCATCACTTTGTCAGTAAGCGACTCGTTGAACTTAATATGCGCCTTTTTTTCTGTTCCCCCAGGGTTTAAATGCTTATTATGAAAACAAACTCCTTCTTTTATGAGACAACATTGTTTTCCCATCTTAGGACGGACTCTTACAATGAAATGAGAGTATTCAAATTAACGGAGATAGCGTGATCATGAATGCTTGTCATTTGGTCACCTTAAACTCTGCTTTACTTACTTATATTGTCAGCAGGAACTTTGACAATGGCAGGTTCCACAAGGTTGTCAGCAAGGACAAAGGCTCCTTCCTCTAGTGTATCCAGTAACATGGTGGCTGCATGAGTTTGCTCAGTGCGATTCATGTCCTGCCATGATTTCAGGGCCTCTGGTCGCAGAAGGTTGTCAACCGTATCCACAATGGCCTGCATCAAACCAGGCAAAACAGGAAGACAACAAACCAAATAAGAACATGAAAAAAATATTTGCATACCGGTACTTCCTTTGCGATCGTACCACTCACATTGACATGCAGACATTGAAATGAATGAATGAAGAATTCTGAGGAATCACACCAAAGACTGCAATTCATGTTTAAAATTGAGTGCAAGCAAAAAATAATTGATAAAACGAGACATTTCCTAAATCAAAAAGAGATTATTTTTAAAACCATGTTGACCATGAAGGACAAACTGAGAAATGTACTGGTGCATCACTGATGGTAGGGAATTAGTTTCTTTTTCAAGGACGTTGAATCAAGGGAGACACTTTGGGTCACAGTGTACTGAGCCTATCAGGCCTGTCTGATAACAGGATATTAAGAGCTGTCCTGATGAAAGCGCCAATGGCTGTTCTCAATTAAAATTATCTAATTGCAAAATTCTGTATACAACTGAATGATTGTCATTAAGTCACCCTCCAAAAGAAACTTGGGATTAAAAAAAAAAAAAAAAAAAACTGACTGGGGAAATATGAGTAATAAAACTGACTGGAACATTTATCCTGACTGGAGACATTCTTTGGTGCCAAAAAGCCAAGAAGTTCAGAGAAGACAGAGAATAAATTGGGACTGGGTTCCAGACAAGACGGGGTAACCTCTGGAAACAATCAAATCAATGCATCTTATCAGGTAATCAATGCTGGGGTATGAGGGAAGGTGTGAAGGGTGATGGTGGGGCAGTCAATGTGATGTGTCAAGGCAGTTGTCAGATACCACTGCCTTGACAATCCCTTGTCCCAGATCCTTCATTGCTATCATTAGTCCAGTATTAATCTGCTTTGTCACAACTGCTGTGTGTTCCGATGGATTTAAATCTACTGTTTGTGACAGTATAAACCAAATGGATGTCTGTAGGGGGATCTACATGTTCTTTCTCTCTCTTTTTTGCCACCTTGTTTTATGTGTGCATGTTGGTTGGATGGCTAATTAGCTTGATCTATTTTAATGCTCTCCCAAAGGAGCAATTGATATGGGGGATGGTGGGTGTTGGAGATAGTTAGAGGACAGTGTTGTCCCCCATGCTTAGGTCAAAATACTTGGATGTGTAAATTCTAACCATTGATCACATTTTAGAAATGAAATTTATTGTTTGACCTGTGGTAACCAATATAACCAGACAGAGCTACGGATTTAAACCCTGACAAATTAGAAAATTACCTTAAACCTGTGTCCTAGTACAACACACTCATTTTTTAATGTGCATGCAGTGCAGTTAAAGGTCAAGTGAACGGTCTGAATTTTATCACACAAGTTTTCATGAATTCCAACAAAATGTGAATGTTTCCTCAACCCTAAAGAAAAGCAAAAATAAACAAATTAGTAAATAAGTAAATGAAAAGAAACAGGAAATAAAGCAGTAAATCCTTCATCGGATGAATAATGAAAAGGGTGAACGTGCAGGGTGGTTTGCTTGAATTGTGGTTTTATGCATCCAGGCGTGCACTTTTGAGTAAACACCATAAACATACAAGAGGGAATGCAGAATGACTGACAAAACACATCACAGCTGTCGATGCAAAGAGTAAAGAGCAACACAGAAACACATCCAAAGAAAAGAAGCCACCTCAGGAAACGGAGATGACTTCTCTTTGTCTCAGAGAGCACTTTGTGGCTGAGTGTCAAGCAGTTACTCAGAAAAAGCAGGAAGCACGGGTGGGGGTGGGGGTGGGGGGGTGCATAAAGGTACATGCTGCTGGACTTGGGCCTGGGCACATACAGCAGTGTAGAAACAAAGGGAACAGCAGCAAGCAGACTGGGCAGAAGCATTGCTTCAGTACCTTTGTGTAAGCCCTGCATGTCCTTTCTCGCTTTTGAAGCTTTGTTTGTTTTTTTTATTAAAAAAGAAGAAGAACAGATAGAAATTAGATATAGGTGATTTTTTTTACAAAAGTGGGGATTTGTTTTCTTTTTGGGGGGGTGAAAAATGTCTAGCAAAAGTGCATGTCTGAGTTATGGATGTACAAACTGACTAATACATGAGCATAGAAAGCACTACTTGTTGCCTTGTGCTACTGACCTGCTGATGAAGAGACAAATGCGCTGTGGATCATGTTCATTTTACAGCATACTTTCATTTCCTACACACCTGACACTTCACAGTGGATTAACACTAAAAATGTTATCATTAACGTACTGCTATTAAGCACAATTATCTGTGACAATAAATGTCTAAAACAGTTTTTCGATCCTTGTTAAGTAGTCAGTGACTGCCTTTCTGTGCAGTTCATTGCAAAATCAGGCAGGTCTTAGCTAATCTTGATCAACTTGATTGAATCATCTAATAAAAGTATCATCTAATAAAGGTTTTTATATTATCTTGTCAGTGAAATGTCAAAGCCACACACACTCTGGCTGCCGAGTGATTCAGCAAGAGGAAACCGAAGAAAAGACAGATTTAGTTTTGCTTCATTTGGCGCTGCTTACTGGTGGTTCTGGTTACCTTATTGAAGCTCCGTCCTGCGGAATCCTTCTCGCTGGGTCGAAGCTCCTGCAGCTGAGCGTCCAGAATATCCACCAGCTGCTCCATGAGGCGCACTGTGGAGGTGATGTCCCCAGCAAAGATTGGGCCTTTGGTGTGCTTTGCTAACTCGTTGGCTAAGTTAGCTGCGTTTTCACCGCTCCGGATCTGCAGGAGGCGAGGGTGAATAATGTGTACAAGAAAAGGAAACAACAGACTTGGTGGGATCTTCTCGGCTCTGTTTCTGGCAGTAGATCCCACACGACTGAGCCTTCAAAATGTCACTTTTTGAAACTATAGTGCATTGCAGTTTAGTGTGTGGTCAATGAAAAAATGATGTTTAAAATGTTTTTAAGCATTATTGTATATATAAACAAGTATGAATGGTGAATATTTCTAAATTTTAAGTGGATTACTTAATTTTCAATGTTATATACTGTAAAAATATTATTATATAAAACACTTTAATTCTACCACTATTTCTTGTGCTACATCCTTTAATTAGATTTTTTTATTGGATTTCGTCCTAATTTTAACCCTTAAACAGTCCCCACATTAAGACTCTGATAAAATGTATGCCAGTAAGGCCTGCGGTCCATGTAACAGGTTGAACATAATGGACACACAAATCCTCAATTATTTTTCCAAATGTTATTTATAAGTATATCTGGCCAGATTTGTTGTCATCTTTTGACTAGTGATTAATTTAATTCCATCCATCCATCCATTATCTTCCACCCGCTTTTTCCTTTTTGGGTCACGGGGTCACTGGTGCCCATGTCCAGTTACCACTGCAAGAGTACAAAAGTGCACCTTGGACAGGTCTCCAGTCCATCACAGGGCCACATAGAGACAAACAAGATAAGCAACCATTCACTCTCTCATTTACACCTAGGGACAATTTAGAGTTACCAATCAGGCGGCAGCTCTACCAACTGTGCCACCGTACCACCCGATTAATTTAATTTAGAGAGGAAACCCTCCCAAAAAGCAGATTGCCATTATTCCCCCCCCCCCCCTCCTCTGTTTATTTGTTTTTGACTAAAAAAAATTCACTTCTAAAGAGAATGGTAAGTCGGAGCTTATACAAACCTTCTGGGCTACTTGGTTAACCCAGTGGGAAGTACAGTTGCTAAGATCAGGCCCCTTTGGGTGCCATTCCCCAGTAGAAGGAGCACATAAATAAGAAGCTGTGCCTGGGAGGGGGGAAAAAAGAAAAGTAAAGTCATGTTCAATCAAATCATATTTTTTCCCCTTGAAGTCATTTAAAGGACAGCAAAGGACATAAACAGGAAAAAAAAAAAACAACAACACTATGTATGCAAGAGAAACACGGTTTGGTTTATGGTTTAAAATCCTTTCCTAAGCCCAAAAGAGAAACTCAAAGACATGCCAACCAGGGTGGTTGTTTTCTCAGTCCGAGTGTCTTTTGAAAACTTTGTGACAAAATTACACTAAAATTGTGGAATTCAGAACACTCCAAACACCAATCACTAAGTATTTCAGTAAGATTGTTTTGCTAGGAAAAAAAAAAAAAAGAAGCATCTTACTACTGCTTTTGAACCAAAGTGGTAATATTTTTCTTCTCACCAAATCAGTGCCATGTCTGATGAAGTCTGAGCACAATTTCACGCACAATCAAAGGAGGAATGCACATATTCCTGCAAGCTGATGGAGAGACATGCAAGCCTGCTTCTCTACCACACAGCCATTAGACACTTCTTTATCAAATTTAGACACTGAATAATATAGCTACAACTTAAAGCAGTGTTTTCAGGCTTTTTTGACAAGTGATTTTGTAAATAAAAATATTTGTGCATGCAAAACTATCAGCCTGATTTAACAAAGTCAGGGATTTTCTCTTGAGATGCTCCAGGTATACACAGCTTGCACACAACCCTGAGGTGGGAGAAAGCCCTGTTTACCTCGTGTTCCCTTGGGACAAGGTCGCTCAACAAGCATGCCCCTCTGGGTCTGAGGCCACATAATGTCTCTTTTCTCCATGGCTTTGCAGAAACGCTCCGGTAAGGGGAAGGACTCCAGGGGAGGAGGAGAAGTTGTCTGTGGAATTACAGGAGGTGGCTTGGGCGCTCTCCTGCTGCCTTCCTTAAGCACTGTTGTGGTTGTCGTATTGGCTGCACCCCAGTGCACTGTGGTTGTTGTAGCGACGGTTGTAGTTCTCTGAGGTTGTGTGGATGCGGTGGCTTCCGACAGTGGTGGTTCTGCGCAGACAGATGGGGTTAAGGGACATTGTGATTCGGTGGAGCACTGACAGATCTGCAGAGGAAATATGATCACTGCCTTGATTCATGAAGCACACTTTCCACTGGAACATAATTCTACTTTTTATAACGCAGCATTGTAAAAAAAAAAAAAAAAGTAGTTTGATTTGTAGTTTTCCATTGATCTGTTCATCAGTGGATGATGTGGAGTATATGAACTATGTCTTTAAAAAATCCTAGACAAAAAAATAAAAGGTTAACTATTTGATGGTGGAAACAAACAAGTTCATCCCTTTGATCCTATTGGTATTTTCCTGTTTGTTTGCTTTTTTCACAATTTGCTGAATATGTTAAAGCCTACATTTATTTTTAATGCAACATACATATCCTTTGACTATTTCTTATTTACGTTGCTGACTGAACCAAACAAGACAATATTTAGAGCAACATTTTTGTGTCTGGCAGTTATTTCTGCCTGGGAGAAGCTGTGGCATGGCTAATTAACTTTCACTGAATCGTGAGTGAGAGTGTGAATTGTTGTTTGTCTCATTTGTCTCTAAGTGGCTCTGTGATGGACTTGCAACGTGTCCAGAGAGTAACCTGCCTCACGCACAATGACCAATGGAAATAGGCAACAGCTACACTGCAACTAGAAAATGAAAAATGTGGGTAAAGAAAATGGATGGATGGATGGATGGATGGATGAAGCAAGACCACCAAGTCTGCATAGCCATGTTGCCAGACCCCCATTTTCCAGTTATTTCTACTCTGATACAGTAGGTATGCTGTAACTCATACAATGCTCTGGGCAAAAACAATATGTCTCAGTCTCAGGGAAAAAGAAAATAGTGCACTGCTTACATTTGCCACAAAGGAAAACTGAGGAAATGTTTCATGAGCGGAGTGTGAGCATTCTTGTGATTACATTTTATACAAGTCAAATATGGAGTTTTATAGATGAAATGCTGATAAATCTTTTTGATCCCAATCCACACTACACCAACCATTACCAAACAAAACCGTATCGGTCATCAAAGACATTTGTTGGGCAAATTTAAAAAGGATATGCTACATCAATCAAAGGAGGTCTGACTGGAATACAAGGTGCATAGTGAACCTAATCGTGTTTGAGTACTTTGATTTCCTCCATTAGGCTGCATGTAGAGCATGCAGCGAAAGTGAAGCGGTGCTGTTACACCGCTTGAGTTGAGCACAGTCGCTCTCAGTAGTTTCCACGCAGCGGTGAAAACACAGATGAGAGGCAGCTACAGAAAAAAAAAAAAAAGGTTGGAATTGAGAGAGAGATGCAGGACAAGCAAAACAGAAAGGGGAGGTGGTGGAGGAACACACACAGGATGATGACAGCAAAATTCAGGAACAATGTGTTTCTTTCTTCTGGTGGATTGGTGGAGAAGTAGACAGACCCCAGGTGACAACACTTCCATATCTGTTGCCTCCATTGGATAATGGGACTGACTGAAAGCAACCCTCAATCTTGCCCAACACACACACACAAGTACTACTATCAACATAGGCCCCTTGGAGTGGATGAAAGGCTTCAGCACAGTTGAGCTGAAGGGAAATCGCCTTTGAGGCCCACTGCTACCTGTGGCGAATTAGGCTCTATTGACCAGAGGAGATGACTCGGTGTGCTCCTTCCTGTTGTGGGCTACAGAACCACACAAATGCACACATACACACACAATCAGGTGACATGATAGTGTACACTGGCCAGCGGGTTTGACACAGAGCTGAAGGCAGATTTGGCTGGCTGGCTGGCTTCACCTCCACCTCGTTCTTCCTTGCCCCTCCTCCCTTACCTGCATCCCTTTACTCAACACGATGAAATGCTCACAGCAGCACAGCCTGTCACAGTGGATGAGAGACAACCTGTGCTTAGTGTCCTTTCAACACTAGCATTTAGCTGGCTGACAGAAATGCCTGTTTCTTTCCTGCACCAGAATCCCTTTATTGCTGTAACCATTTTATTGCTTAGAGCAGATAAAGAGATACCCGCAGAAAAACGATGAAACTTTTTTACATTTCTGGTTCAATTTACATGTTTTGATGGCCAAGCGTGTGTGTCAGTGAAGCTTATAAATCATTATTATTGCTTCTTTTTAAACATCTGGGTCAGAGTTGCCTGGAAAAATGTCCAGAGGAATCCCAAGGAACCGTAGGGGCCCTGTAAAGGTTTCCCATTTCCAAAAGTATGAAAGATAAGATCATGGCTTCCATGGGTGGAGGGGGGGGGGGGGGGGGGGGGGTCCAGACAAAAATAAAATGAAAATGAATCGCTCTTCAGCAGCATGATATAAGATAAAAGGCTCACAACTATAACCAGTACATCAAAGAGGCATCTACTGTAAGCCAAGCACATTCCTGCAGCATGTCAGCTAGCAACTGTATCTTGTCTTCACATTGCTGCTTGTCATGGCCAGCTGGAACATTGAATATGACGTTACAATTGCAACAAATAAAAATAAGTATCCATGAAGTTTTTCTTTATTTTTGGTATGTATCCCCACAAAAATGTTTCCACTTCAATTTAAAAATTAACCTACACATGTCAAATTTGATTGGGTTGTGCAATGTTCCGGCAGCTGTTTAATATACCACATTATTTTACATTATTAGTGTTTAGCGTATATCTTAGATCCATGTATACTGTTTCTTTTATACTTTATATTTTTTGCTATTTTTGGGTGTAACTGGGACCTTGAGTCACAATTTCGTTCCACCTCATATACCACATGTGATGCAAATGATGATAAAGAACCTTGAATATTGGTCTTTGCACTGACATATGGGGTCAATGTATTTTCTAATCTTTATTTATATAATTGTATATGCTGTAAATGCTAAGCAGAGTGTGATTTACTGCTTTTTTTATGATTTGCATTTTGTAAAAGCTTTAAAAATTTAGTTTTTTTTGTGGTTTTTGTGCATGGATACTTTGTGAATGCAGCAATTGGGAAGGTACTAAATCAAAAACAGTGCTGTGCATCTCATTATGTCATATTTTATTGTACATCAATACAAACTGGAGAGATAAATATTGCTAGCCTCAGTCATTAAGAGGCTAAAACTAACAGCTTTGACTATCATAAATATGTATATTAAAGAAGGATGGCCTAATACTAAACTGAAGCAGCAATGTGTCCACTCTGCAACTGAAAACAGCTGCACTTTAAAGAGCTTCATTAATGAGGAATTATATGAGTCAAACACATTATATCAAAAGGCTAAAATAATCCTGTTGGTGGGAGTTTCATGTTATGTTTATGGTACAAAGTAATCCTCTTTTCTGCGAAAATAAAAGCTGAATGTGAAGTGCGCCATAAGCTATATATTTCAGCTAGATTTGTTCATAAACACCATGGCCTTTCTGACCGTTGCTATTCTCGTGCACATAACATTTTAGCCAGGAATGCAACAAACACAATAATCTTATTACCATTACACAATAGCTTTATTCAACTTAATCCCATGAAAGCTGGAAGGAATTAACCTGAAGTATTTAAACGGTCTTTCCTCCGAGGCTGTTGCCACACAGAGATTTCCAACTGGATGAGCTTTCAAGTAGAGGCAGAGCATGATGGATATTGATTGGTTGCTAGTGCTGCAGAAGCCTTTTTTTTTCTGATTCATAACATCTTGTCTTCCACTGAGGTGTGTCATGTCTGAATTTCCCTGTACAATATTCTTTTGATAAAGACAAAAGTAGCAAGTTGGCTGTTTGGGCTATGCAGTGAAATCCAGGACAAGATTCTTGATTATTATGTCTCTGCTTCTCTCAGCCCAAGGGTAAGCTTCAATTAGCTGTCACTGAGTGTGAGTGGATAGACTGATATTCTCCAAAGCACTGCCAATAGTCAGAACAGACTTATTCATAACCTCCATGTGAGTCAACGCCCACACATTGTTGCACTTCTCCATAGTTATGTTATTACCGCTGGGGCTATAGGTCTGAAATCGATGACAGAAAATGAGATGGGAATCAAAGTTAAGAGTAAGGCTTGTCGAGCGTTGTCGGAGCATATTCATACAGTAAGAAGTTAGAAACACACACGCAGAACACACAAGCTAACACAGAGCCTAGATGGAACCAGGATTGAGTATTCATATCAGGATGACAAATGGAAACTGACAGCAAGTGTGCCTGTTATATTATGTTTAATGACTTTACTGACTCTGCATGGTTGTTCATCAGGGTACTGTTTCAGACGTGATATCAGGTGCTGTTTATCTTGTGACAAAGGAGAAAGAAGCACACATTTGGGATTGCTTCAAATAATTTGCCACATCAAAAAGTATGTTAAAATAATTTTGCTGCCTCTTCATGCTCTCTCCTCTTTCTTACCATTCTGTTGTGGAATGATTTCAAGACAATGATGGGTGATGTTTCATGTAAGAGTGTTTTTCATGTACTTCTTTGTTCACATTTCTGTGGGAAAATTACATTGTGCTACATTGAAAGACCGTGTCTTTTGTACTTGTGGCCTCTTAGTGGCAATCACATCCAAAATGAGAAGAAATAGCAAAAGTTAACAAGTGGAGTCAGAGGAAACAGACAATTTGAGGGTTTTTTTTGTTTGTTTTTTAACTCTGCGAGAAGATGGAAGAAATCTTGTGAAGAGAAAATATGCATATAACCAACCGGCTTTTAACTTTTTACTACATAATATATAGGTTAGTTGAAAAAAAAAAGAGTAGGATTGTTGTAAACACTTCTCTCCTCAATGTTGCTTAAATACAGTAACTCTTGCTAAAAAAAAACAAAAAAACATTACACTTAATCCTTCCTGGAAGTAGTCTTCCCTCTAAGTTCATATGGAAATAGATCTGCTACTGACTATGAAGTAGTATAATGATTTATATCAAGCATGTGATGCATTTTGATATGTACCAATAATAACAATAACACACAAAGGAAATTGGATTACACATCTTTCACTCTGCCCTGCATTCGTGGCTGTGGAAGGGAACAAGGCATATGA